TTACAATCCATTGTCGTGTACATCCGACGAGAAATAGGATCATAACATCTGTATCCCCTTTTGTGAACCCCATACCCAACAAAGACACATCGGACAGCACAAGGATCAAATTTTGTTCGTTTGATTTTTGGAATATGTACATATACAGTGCAGCCAAACACACGAGGAGTGAGAGTCAAGGAGGTAGGAACAATGGAAAATTTTGCAAGTGTATCGATGGGTGTTTTGTGATTTAGGATTTTTGTTGGAAGACGATTTATGAGGTAAATGGTGGTTGCAATTGCTTCAGGCCAGTAATAAATCGGAACATTGAACTCAATCATAAGGGCCCTAGTGATTTCGAGTATAATCCGATTCTTACGTTCAGCAACGCCATTTTGTTGAGGGGTGTCAGGACAAGTGGTTTGATGGATATGACCTTTTTCTTTGCAGAAATTTTCCATGGGATGATTTATGTATTCTCCTCCATTATCAGATCGTAAAATACAGATCTGTTTTTGGTATTGTGTGTGGATCAATTTGTAAAATGAGGTGAACTTTTCAAAAACTTCAGATTTATGTTTAAGAAAGTACACCCAGGTCATACGAGTACAATCATCAACAAACAATAAAAAGTATTGATACCCATTTGGACTTGGTTCTGGAGGTGGACCCCACACATCAGAATGGATTAATGAGAAAGGTTGTGATGCAACAGTGTTATTTAACAGATATGAATGTTTATGACTTTTGGCTAGAATACAACTGTTGCAATGAAACTGACATGATTTATTGAATAATCCAAGATGGATGTCCCAAACGACGATGCCACAGCCATGCCTACCTGTCCACTGTCCCATGAGCAAGTGTAGCTGTTCCATAGTGATCAACTTCATCAACAAAGTACAGGCCATGACGCTCAGAACCACGCCCAATGATCTTCCCCGTCCGAATATCCTGTAATAAGCAAAAAGTGGGGTGCATTAGGACCATGCAGTTTAATTGTTTAGTGACATGGCTTATTGACATCAATTTATGAGACAGTGTCGGAACATATAGATAATTATCAAGCCGGATAGATGTCGATATAGATATTGGACCGGTGCCCTCGACACGAGAATAATCCCCATTGGCCGTTTGAATATGAGTTTTCTTAGACCAATTTAAGGAATTAAAATCAGAACGGTCAAAGGACATTGTGTCAGTTGCCCCGCAATCAAAAATCCACTGGGTATTTTTAATTGGGTTCATATTGGGCCTGATTGATGGGCTGGGAGGAGATATTAAAAATCCCATCCCCCCCTCTTCCATAACCCTACCCACTGTTTCGCCCTTCTCCTTCGCTGCGCCATTCACTGCGCCGACTTCATCTTCTTCACCTCTCTCTTTTCTTTCGTCTCTATCCATGGCGATTCCGGCGAAAAATTGAGGCGTTTGGTTGGTGGTGATGCTGGTGGTCTCTGGATTGCCCATTACTGCCCCAGCGACTCCCGGCGGCTTCTTCCCCCTCTTTCGGGTGTCCGGCCACCACTCGGGATACCCAATTCTTTTGAAGCAACCTTCGGCTGTGTGCTTCGTCCCACCACAGTAGGTACATCTTAACTGTGATTTATCTTCATATGTGCGAGATGACGATTGGCGATTTTCCGATCGCACCGCCGCCGCCCGTGTGGC